CTCATCGATTTCAGCTTGTTGCCCCAGATACTACCCACTCTTCCCTGAGAGTCTTCTACAATTCCCGCTTCTCGACAGATTATTTGATCGAGCAAGCGAGAAAGACCGGCCGCCTTGAGAAAATCAGCTTTGGCCAAAAGCGTGATCCTTGCCAGACAGTATTTCAGAAGGCACAGAGCGAGTTTAACCCTGATCCCTCCTCAGCCAACGTCGGCGTAACACTCTCCGTCAACATGCCAGGGCTTAATAAGACTATGGATGGAAACCAGCGGAATATCGGACGCTGGACCGGTTCTTCAGGGATAAACACTCTGTATGCAAAGACAGATTCCACTTCCTACAAGAAGCTCGACCCCGAGACCCTTGAACCTGTAGGCCTGGCTTCACAAAAGGATCTACATCCTGACCTGGATGGGCCTTTGTCGGCATCCCATGCACGTTCTGATCCGATAACGGGGGACGTTTATAATTTTAACCTCGCTTTTGGCAAATCTTCGACCTATCGCGTCTTCCATGTGTCCGCCTCAACAGGGAAAACTACAATCCTTGCTACATTCGAGGGAACACCTGCATATCTCCATTCTTTGTTTCTCTCAAAGGACTATGTTATTCTATGTGTGTGGAACTCTCATATCAACCCCACTATGCTCGAGAAAGGCAGCTTCTTGCAAGCCATCCAGTCATTCGATGCAACCCGGCCTACCAAGTGGTATGTGGTGGACCGCACGCAAGGCCAAGGGCTCGTCGCTACATTTGAAAGCTCTCCGTTCTTCTGCTTCCATACGATTAATGCCTGGCAAGAGTCTTCGGCAAGTGGCACCGGAGTGGACATTGTAGCAGAGCTTGTCAGATTCGATAACACCGATACGTTGCACACTCTATACTATGAGAAGCTCGTTTCTTCATCGGCCGAAGCGAAAGCTCATGCCCAGATAAAGAAAGACACTTGCCGCTCGGAATTTGCCCGTTTCCGTCTTTCAAATATCCCTACTAGCCCTAGCACCGAGGTCAAGACAGCCACCGCTGAGCGGATGTCATGCAAAGCCTTCTCTCCCGAGTTGCCAACTATGAATCCAAAACTGGTCACGCAAAAGCACCGATACACGTACGCCATAACCGCCCGCGACGAATCGACTTTCTTCGATGGAATAATCAAATTCGACAGTCAAAGCAAGGAAACGCTTCTGTGGAACCACCACGCCCAGTCTCCCGGAGAGCCGATTTTTGTTCCCCGTCCGGACGGCCTAGAAGAAGACGATGGAATCCTCCTCAGCGTAGTTCTGGATGGATACTCAGGCAAAAGCTATCTGCTTTGCCTTGATGCTAGAACATTAAAGGAACTGGGTAGAGCACATGTCAACGGACCTGTTGGATTTGGGTTCCATGGCCAGCATATTCCTGCTAATGGAGTGCCTACTGGTGATTACTAGTCGACCTTTCGCCATGCTTTTTGTTTGCATTAATTTCTTTTGTTCATTCTAGCTTGAGGCGAAAGGTTGAATGTCGCCTGTCCGCTCTTTTATATAATGGCCTTTTGTTTATCAATGGAGAGTCTGATATGACATTGTGAAGATTGACTTACTGCTTCATATAACGTTCTATGCTCTGCGCAATGCTTCAATCGTATATTATTCGGAAGTGCTCTATAGGTACGCTCAACTCGCATGAGTCAAGAAACCTTCAGTAGCATAATTTAGGGATTAAGAATACCATTGGACCTGAACGCTGCGAACATCTAACTCGCAAGGTTTTCCAGCCATCATAGCATATCCTAGGTTTTCGCACGGATGACGAAACTTATCAACAGATACAGTATCAACAAACCACCATTTCGCAAAATGCCCTATGATAATAGAATTAGTAGATTAAGATTATTTTTTTATAAGTATATCCGTATCTACATATGTCCTCCACACAGATGTGTTATAAACTAATTATTAGGCTCCATCCACCACAGACCGACATCATCATAATCATCTAGCTCAGCTCCCACTTGCAGTCCGAAGCCTCCACATCCCCACCATCACCAGTCGGGAAACCCTTGTACAGACAGTACCCATCTTCCTTGTGGAAGTTCGCAATAACATCCTGGCCATCATCACTGAGAACCCATTGCACGAACTCCTGCGCCAGTTCCTTGTTATCCGAGTCCTTGGACGTGATGATATCGGCCGGATTGAGCAGTTCCTCATATTCATCGCCGCGCTTGTAGATTTCCAGCTGGTCCGCGAGATCCTTGTCCGTGTTGCTGAGTGTGAGGTACGTTCCACGATCGGTGACCGTATATTCCCCCAGCTTGATCGAGGCCGTCAACGCCTGGATCGGATAGTCCATGTACTGGTGATACCATTTGGAGTAGGCGATTGCCCAGGGAACCTTTTCTCAAATCACCGAATTAGCATTTTCCAATCCTTCCAAGCATAGAAATACGAAATACGAAATACAAAAGGGTGGGGAGTGAGGGAAAGGGCTGTAAAAAAAAATTAAAAAAAAGAAAAAAATAAATAAAAAATTGAGGAAAAAGACATACCTGCCCAATAGCAATCCACAACTCCGAATCCTTAATATTCGTCGCCGACTTATCAAACCGACTCAAAAACCGCGCGGTTCCATTCTCCCCCGCATTATATAGCTTCGAGAATGTCTCCGTGATATCATCCTCATCTTGGATATCGGCGGTGTTATTCTTCGGCCCAGCCAGGTAGAAGTGATCACGGAAGGTGTAGCACGGTCGTTCCTCGTAGTCCTGGCAGTTGTTGTCACCGAAGCAGGGGGTCGTGGTATTCTCGTCTTTGTATTTGCAGCCGGAGGCGAAGCCGTTGTTGATTGCGATTTGCTCGGCTGTCTTGTGGTATGTGATCCCTATGTCTACCTTTTTGGATTTCAGGTTGTTGATTGTTTCGGTGGTGTCACCTTTTACCCATTCTATGGTGAAGGCTTTGCTGGTATCTTGGCAGTTGTTGGTTTGGTTTTTGATGAAGTGGGTGGCTAGTTCTGTGGGTGGGAGTGTTAGTTTGGGTGGTTTGGGTTAGGGTTGTGCGTTAGTATGCAGGTACAAGGCCGGGCACGGCTACCTTTGACGAGACCACTTTGGCCGGCGCCTCCGTTGCCGATGCGGAGTTTGATGGGGTTGTCGCCCTTGCAGCCGCCATCGTAGGTGTCTGCTGCGGCGAGGCTGTTGTAGAGGGAGACCGCGACGGTGGCTGTAAGGCTGAGGGAGGACGAGAAACGCATGGTGATGGGTGGGCGTGGGATCTGCGCCGGTGGGGGGGAGGGGGAAGGAGATGCTGGTTCTACAAGGGAAGAGTTTCAGAGGGAATAATGGCATGGTTGGGTTAGTTTATATACTGTCCTCTTCTTTACATCGGCTGAATAGCCTTTGCGAACCAAGACTAAGAACACAAATAGAACGAAACGGGAGGGTTCAGCAACTTCAGCTGAAGGAGGGCCCAATGCAAGCAGCCTTGCCAGATCAACACAATGGGTGCTACCTCGATGGGCCGCAAACCAGTGGGCAACCATGCTTCATTTCTCTCGAGTGGAATCCATTTATAAGTACAAGTGACCGTGCCAGCCATTTCAGTCGTTCACTAGGATCTCTTTTCCGATATGATCGGCGACCGACTGCGTTGTTTTGCCAGCTCATCCGAGGGCTGGGCGTTGCGATCCGGCAGTTCGAGGTGAAACTAAAATTGGGTAATAATTCCCTCAAGCGCCTTCGGTTTATGGGAGTTGCCAAGGGTCTCCGTAGGCTATTTGTAAATAAGTTTGGGCTACGGGAGAATTTGGCTAAGTGTAGATAGGGGAAAGGATTGTCAAACGTGCTATGGTGGAACACGACTTAGGGTTTTGTGTGGTTCAGTACCCACCGTGGCTTTGACTGGATTGTGGAGTTCGGCGGGATATCATTCATTTTGACAAATTGCCAGAAGGAAAAGAAAGAAGAAGAAGAAGAAGAAGAAGAAGAATATTAACAGGGTAGAACCTTTCCGTGAAAGGGGGCATTGATAGACCTTGGTTTGAGGATACGAGTCCTTCATATCTAGAAAAGCGAGAGAGCAGTCATGGGCCGTGATGGAGTTCGTTCAAGATTTCCAAAGCTCCACCAGTTTAGGGTCATATTTGCTAGTGTACGGGGCTAGAAGCCTAGCAACTTGGCACATTTGTTGTAACTACCCTATACTTAAAGTTCCTTACTGAAATGTATATCAAACAATATAGTCTCCCAACTCCGATGAAATCTTTCCTTTGAATCCGATAGTCGTAAGAGAATCCCAGCCATGACGGGGTTTTCCTGCCGGCCAGCGATTGTCTCACAGTCTAGAACAGCCAACACATGTACTTCATTGTCTGGAAGATTGGAATCCTTAAACTTAGAAGTCGTGCTACATACTAGCCTATGTGCAGTGATTGAATGGATAGACACCAATGGTAAGGTGATTCGCAGTCCAGGATTCGTCACTTCATAGGGCAGTTTCCTGCGCCTAGTCTTTGGTGCGAGGTTGGAAATGAATGGAAAATCGGCGACAGATGTGGGTGAGGTGCCCAGGATCTGCCCCAGGGAGAATCATATCCACACCAGGCAAGGATACTCATGTCGGTTGAAGTTCTGATGATCTCTTCCTGTAGACGGCGGGAAGCATTTTCCCCTTCGCCATAGAGAAGAGGTATATGCACTTAGGTTGCCAACTCACAATGAGGGGTTGAGGCAAGGCTGCATGCAGATAGTAAAGACATGTCTACACGCAGTAATGATCACGCATAAATATAAATTCCCCCACAAAAGTCGAGTCAGCGCGGACCTCAGATTTCCGTGAACCTGTAATATTGATAGTTACTTGGAAGCAGTCTGTGAACTGGCGAGTCAGTATACCGAATGACTAAGCCAGACTATAACATCATCTCGCTCGCTCGCATGAATGCTACAACAGTCCATCTAGTCTAGGATCAAAGCCTCAAGGCTTACTTACATATCTTCGAATGAACAGCATTACTAAAGCATGAAGCGTTATCGCGATTCACGGCAAACATCGCCACCATTCACACTGCCAACCATAGAAGACAATGATATCCCCAAACTCTCCAGCCTTGATGCACCAGTATCTCCTCCCAGGAAAAGGTCCACAGCAAAGGCTAGACATTCTAGTAATGCCTCATCAGAGCCAAAAGTCTCAGAGCAACAAGCAGAAACATTTACCAATAAAGAGCGCCACGATCTAGCCGCCATTGAAGCAGGCCAGGTCGAAGTCACAGATCACCTATCCATCTTCTCTTCACGACTCAGTCAAGCTGCCCGTCCTGCAGTATCACAGTCACCTCGATTGCAGATCCCAGACTGGGTATCCCTGTACCAGCGCAACCAGTCTCCAGAAGGAAGACACTTCGTTATTCATCAGCATGACCACCCCATTGCTGGACCGCATTATGATCTCCGGTTGCAGTTCTCGGACTCCAGTTCTGTTAGCTGGTCCATCATGTATGGATTACCGGGTAACCCTAACAGTCGACGGCTGAATCGGAATGCGACGGAGACGAGGGTACATTGTTTATGGGTGTGTATTCTCTACCCCATTTCTATATCTGCATTTACCATGCCATAGAAACTAAAGGGCACCCATAGAACCATCTCATCGAAACCGCGTCCCCCCGAACAGGAAGCATGATCATCTGGGATACAGGAGAATACGAAATTCTCCCCTACCAACCTGAACAAACGCAACCTGAAACAGACGACTCCCGTTCCGACAATTTATCAGACACATCCATCTCAACCGTAGACTCAAAAACCGATAGTGAAAAACTCTGCCAAGCGTTTCAGAACGTATGTTCGAAAGCAACCCTTCTCTTTTTTTGTTAAAAAAAAAAAAAAAAAAAAGGAAAAATGTCCTTTCCCTAGATTTCCGGAACACTAACGAAATCAGCGCAAAATCCGCCTCCGTCTCCACGGAACAAAACTCCCCCAAAACTACACCATCATCCTCCGTCTCGACAAAAACATAGACTTCAGAAGAAACCCCACCACAACCCGAAAACGGCGTCGTCGAACGATTCCAAACCTTAAAAGAGGGCCTAGTACATCGTCCTCTGATTCCTCGCCACCTCCATCTAAAAGTGATTCCACAGGGACGCCAGCTCCTGGCGTTTCGGATCAAACTCTATCTGCGTCTGAGACTCCTGGTGGGGAACACTCGGATGAAGAAGATGATGTAGACGAGCAGATTAGGACTAATAATGCCTATCCGGGGGCTATCAACTCCATTGGGTCGGTTCATCAGCGGAGATGGTTTGTTACTCTTGATCGGGTGAATTCGGGGTTCGTGGCTGAGGCTGGGTCTGGGTCTGGTGGGAAGAGGTGGGTGAGGAAATGGGATCCTGGGACGGGGCGCTTGTTGGGTTTTGAGCCGTTTTATGTTCGGGGGCCTGAGGTTGAGAGGAGTGTTGTTACTGGGAGGCTGGGGAGGGATGTTTTGGAGGATGAGGGTGTCGAGGGTTTTGTGCCTAGACGGGGGTGGAGGGCCGTTTTGGAATGAGTATTCTGTTTGTTGATTTTAGTTTGTTTATAGATAGGACGCTGTTACAAGTATAACTAAGACTAGCATTTAGAAGACAAAAGTGTCTCTCTGTTTCAAGTATTCATAGAATAGTCTAGTAACAATATAGCGGATTAGAACATGGACACATTCGCCTGCTATGTCTGGTGCATATATGCAGTCAACCCAAGAATACTTGCACAATAACCTCATTGCTCCATCCTGGTTCCAACTTCATTTCCTTCCATGCCGTCAGGATATCCACGGCCAGTATTTTGGACTTTTCATCATCCCCTTCCTTCCAAACAGTCTTCCGTGGTACAGGATAACCAAGAATTGTGACCATAAAGTTGTCCTCAATACTCCAATCAGGCAGGTCAGATATATAGATACCCAATGTCCCAAGCGCTTTCAGGCTGATATCGAAGCGGAGGCGCCCGTTCGCCTCCACGTAGATGTCAGAGCTCACTATGGCGGCTGCACCAGTCATTTTTCCGAGCAATCCTAATACTGCAGCGTGCGTAGGATTCGATTCGCTGGTGTCACTAGAGTCTTTGCGCTTCAAGGTGAAGGACTGGATGGGGTATGCGGTCAAGATCTCCCAGCCTTTATCTTCTAACACCACCCCAACGAGCGCGTGTCGGTCGATTGGCCTCATGAGGTCTGTTATGGTGCCACTTGTGTGAGATCGGACTATATATTTCGTATCGTAGTCATCATGAATACCCGGAAATTCTTGCAGAGACACCAAGCTGGTCTTCCGATGATCAGAAACGTTAAAGAGGCCCAGAATCCCACTTCCAGTTCGAGCCCAGCCCGTATAGGTACCCACCCGCAGTACTTGGCCAGCACTGTAGTCGTGGTACATGTCAATAGTACGGCCTACTAGACTAGGACGAAGGATTACCGTAGTTCCCTGGGTAGTCGGGGCTGTTATTTCATTGATGATGGAGATGTTATGGTTCCCCGGTTCATCGGTGATATAGATTGGGCCGCCGGAAACGCATCGTGCAGCTGCGTGGAAAGAGGCATATGGATGACTTGTTTGGAACATATCCCAGTCAGGTAGGACATTCAAGTAGCGGGTGAGGAGTGCGTTGTGGGCATTGCAGAAGACATGCCATGTATGAGACGCTGGCACCTCTGGGAAGAAGTCATCAGAATTCCGTAGTGGAATAGTAGGTTTGTTAGTGGGTAGCTGCGAATTGAAAATAGCCTGAGGAAACATTGACATGCACGAGATAGCCTTGGTTCCGAAGTATCTCAGGGAGGATATGGACCAAGCATCCTGGTAGGCCCGGGTGAACTTGCGCCGATCCTCTGGATCTTTCAATAGGTCAAGAAAGAATTGAGCATCGGTTTTCACGGCATCGACACCAGTAGAGGCAAGATAACTGTAGAACTCGTCATAGAATTGTTGAACATCATCTGGGTCAATGGCAAGTAGTGACTGCTTCTCAAACGCCTTGGCAATTGGACCCCCCGCTGCTGGATCTTTAATCTTCACTTCTTTCGTTTTAAATTTCTTAGCTATATCACCGTCGGGTGAAATACCACCCCAATATCCGAACAAGGCATGCCACACGCCGATATGCTGGATGTTCGGATGTTTTCGGCGGATAGCCTCTACAGCCTTCTTTAGTCCTCGAGGAAACGCATCTGGATTGGCTTCGAACTGTTTCCATCTCCGCTTGAATTGGGAATCACCTTCATTGTCTAGAGCTTGCCAGTTATCATCGATTATAAGATTAGAGATGTTGATTCCATGGGACTTCATTGTATCAAGAGCATCGAAAATCATTTTTTCCGTTAAATCTTGCCCTAAGCCATTCCATGTGCAGTATGTCAGACCATCGTACCACTCAGACAGCCATTGTGCCTCGGGGTCTTTTTCGACTAGCACGACATCGTCCCCTGGAGGAGACACTGGAGTTGGAATCTGATCAGTAGTTTCTGTGCCATAGGGCCGAACAAGCTTCCGCGCCTCATAAATCACTGCGCTTATTGCTACCTCAAAGTTGGCTGCTGTGGATGCCAGTAGTTGAAGGTCTGATGCAGTAGCATTGTCATTCTGCGACTTGATCACTACCTCACCATTATCACCGGACCCAAGGACAGTCAAAACGCTATTTATGCCCGAAACAGCCAGAAGTACTACGTGCTCCCCATCATCTCGAAGGAACGAGCAAAGAATGGCGTCTTCTGTTATTCTAAACTTTCCTCGTCCGTGTCTGGGTCCAAGCCACGGAGTCCATACCCTGACCAAAGCAAAGTACAGCATTGTCCGAGAAGGCACCCCAAGGACGACATTAGTGAATCCAGACTGATTATTTTGAGCTGGACCAGCCTTTCCAGAAATATGCCACAAAGTTGATCCAGGGGCCTCACTTTTGCGGGACTCGACTTCAAGATCAGGCGAGAGGCCATCGAAATACTTGCCAACCCCCTCCTTTGCGGATGTTAGAGAGAGCTGTGCCAGATTGATATCTTCTTGTTCAGGCTCTCTTGCGGAAAACACCAATTCTCCATCCTTGGAGTTCTGCTGTTGATTCACCCATTGCCAATCGTTATCCTGACTGACCCTGTACCGGACAGTAAACTGTGCGCAGCCTCCATGTGATGGTAGCGGGATCTCTCCGCAAAACACATGGCGATAAAACTTATACTCTGATTGATTTATGTTCATGAGAGGCACCACCGGGCTTGAGCTTTGCTGAAGAAGAAAAGCACTCCATTCAGGGCTCGTGATGTTGTGCCATATCTGAGCTTCCCATGGCTGCTCGGGGAGTGAATGGCTTGATTCTATCACGACAGTAAATTGAACCTGTTGCAATATTAGAAGATAGGATTATCATGATGTAGTGTAAATGTATACCGTATCATCTTTCCCGGGATTTAGAGCTTGTTGGACTCTCTGGGGGCACGTTACTTGCCCCAAGGGAGGATAACAAGTGATTTGAGAAAATAAGCCCATCTGCGCCGGGCGAATAAATTGGGCCCGCGATTGATTTCTAGATGAACCTGCACCCTCTTCTGGATTGTTTGATTCCTTTCCAGTGTTACACTGCATTGAATGTGGTGTATTTGTAAAGCGACTTGGCTGGGGTTGGCAAGGGAGATTCGAGAGTGAGCGCGTTTATTAAGATCATATCCTATTTCACCCGAGCAGGGAAGGTCGGCGGAAAAGTCGGTGATCGATTTAATGCGCGATGAGGTGTACAACGTGCAAAACAACGTCCCTTGAAGTGGCGTGAGGGGAACAGGTTTAGCTCTGCTCTTCTGCTCCATCATTGGCTTATATATCTTCCAATCACGGGAGGTATTCTTTGCCCCAATTTGGAGTCTTAACTTATATCAATTCAATATGACTACAAGCTGTGTCAGTCAAGTGATATCAATGGAAATCACCTGTCACACCCCGTGACAGATATATTTGCTTTTTCTACCCAATGGCTCGTATTTAATCTGCCATAGTTAACCGTGATTGACAGCACATCTTTTTAGCTTATCACACATTGACTACATTTCGCAGTTGTATCTTCATAGAATTTTTGTATTCCGAACACTTATCATCAATATGCACTCTGCCATCAAGGTCATCCTATTTGTCCTATTCCCACTTATCTACGGATCTCAGAACCTTCCCGTTGTTGACGTCGCAATAGTAGGAGCCGGATTATCCGGCCTGAGCACAGCAAAGGACCTTGCAAAAGCTGGCAAATCATTTGTGATATTCGAAGCTCGAGACCGAGTCGGTGGCCGCGTCTTCAATAAACAGCTACCAAATAAGGGAATTGTAGAAGTCGGCGCTCAATTCGTGGGGCCAACTCAGGATAGAGTACTTGACCTGGCACAATCACTTGGCTTGTCGACTTTCAAAACGTTTAATTCGGGTAATACGACCCTTTTCCGAAACGGAACACACAACGTGTTCAATGGAACATTCACGACCGGAGATGTGCCTATTTCCCCCGAAGGCCTGGCGCAGGCTGGACGGGCACTTCTGCTACTGGATGCGATGGCGACTGAGCTAGATGTCAGTTCCCCATGGAACCACTCTCACTCAATTGAATGGGATAGCGAGACTGTACAAAGCTGGCTGAACAGTGAAGCGCCCCATCCGGATGCCCAGTTTCTGCTTACCCAAGGTCTACAATCGGTGTTTTCCACTGAGCCTCGAGAACAGTCGCTTTTATACACGCTTGCGTATATCGCGGCTGCGGGTAATGCAACTACGCGTGGAACCTTCGAGCGCCTCTTAGATGTAGCTGGCGGAGCACAGGAGCAACGTATCGTGGGAGGGACCCAGCTGCTAGCCATCAGACTTGCTGAGAGAATCGGATTGAGCAATATCATTTTCAATGCTGCTGTTCGAAACATCGAGTTAAAAGGTGAGACCTACCTTGTCTCCTCGGATAATCAATCGGTCATAGCAAAGCACGTGGTCGTTGCCATGTCGCCTCCCCTGGCATCCCGCATCACTTATCAGCCGTTGCTGCCAGCGGCGCGAGATCATCTTACTCAACGAATGCCAATGGGATCTATTGGAAAAGCATTCGCTACATACACTACTCCTTTCTGGCGGGAGGCCGGCCTCAACGGGCAGGTGGTCAGCGACACTGGGGCGGTACGAATTACTTTCGATAGCTCCCCTGACGATGGCTCATTCGGTATCATGATGGGTTTTATCGAGGCGGACGAAATGAGGAGACTAGATCGATTGCCCGAGCGTGAGATAATCAAAGAGACCACCCAAGACCTAGTTCGCTATTTTGGGCCCAAAGCAGCTAATGTTCAGAACTGGGTCATCCAGCGGTGGGATCTTGAACAATTTTCTAGGGGAGGGCCCGTTGCGTATGCACCTCCAGGTGTGCTCACGGCTTATGGTACCTCATTAAAGTCACCGCACAGAAAGCTCCATTTTGCGGGAACAGAGGCCTCTTCTTTCTGGGTTGGGTTCATGGACGGCGCAATTCGATCGGGGGAACGTGTTGCTATGGAAATCTTGATGGATTTGTAGTTGTTCGTCAGCAGCTTTCGTATCAGTGACTGCGCGTCGTCTCTGGAAATACCAAGCCTTTTCTTGGCGATGGTAGCTGGAGCTCTAGGTTAGTTAGTTGAAGTGCTAGCTTAGGATCCTGTGTATTATGCTCATTGATTGTTTTTATTCTCTATAAAAGTTTCATTGATCAGTCACATCGTTACGTTAGGTATCTGCGCTTCTAAAGACGTTTAATCGATCTTGATCGCTAGCTTTCCGAAGTGCTTCTGGGCCCACTGTGAAGAATATTAGCATAAGGTGTTACCCCCTTGAGAAACACGGATAGCCTTACCATGTATTCATAAGCATCCTTAGCCTTGTCGAGGGTGAAGACCTTAGGGTCCACAACAGGATGGATATCATTAGCCTCAATAGCCTTAACCATGTTGTTCAGTAATTCCTTGCTTCCGACGTAAACACCCCGAACGGTACAGATGTTGCTGAGGGTGTCAAGAATGGTCGGCTGAGACTTGGGATCAACACCGCCGAGGAAACCAATAATGCTAATGACACCCTCGAATTTGATACACTTGAAGCTCTGGTTAAGCGTTCCGCTGCCGCCGACCTCGACGATGTGGTCCACACCAACATTGTCGGGCGTGAGCTTGCGAGCAGCCTCGCCCCAATTGGGATCAGACTTGTAGTTGATAACGTGGTCTGCGCCAAGCTCCTTCAATTTCTCTGACTTCTCAGCAGAGGAGGTAGTAGCGATGACAGTCGCCCCAGCAGCTTTAGCGAACTATCATGGACAGTTAGTTAGATGCCAAGCTCCAAGCCCAACTGGCTAAAAATAGAATAAATTAGACGGAAAGGCTTACCTGCAGTGCAAACAAGCTAACGCCGCCAGTTCCCTGCACCAGAACAGTCTGTCCTGACTGGAGAGGCTTCAGACCATACAAAGCGTTCCAGCTGGTCAGAGCGGCACACGAAAGCGTACTGGCCTCAAGGTGGGTGAGGTTCTTCGGGCTTTTCACTAGACCATTCTCGTTGAAGACGCCGTATTGACGCAAAGTACCATCAATAACACCACCCAGGCCAGATCCGGCGGCCCTGGGATCGACAGGACCGTACTGGTGCAGCTGATTGAACAGGGTAATCACCTTGTCTCCTTTGCTGAATTGAGACACCTTAGGACCCACTTCGACAACCTCACCGGCTCCATCTGAGCCTGGCACAACAGGGAAGTTGATGGCGAAGGGGTACATGCCCTAGCAGCACGCATTAGCAGGGAACAAATGTTGCAGAGAGGTTTCGTTGTCATCGACGTACCCGTGGAATGATAAGGTCGCGATAATTGAGCGAGGCGGCGTGGAACTTCACCAACACATCGTTATCGCCAACCTTGGGGACTGGCGCATCATTGTAGGCAAGCTCGTCAAAGCCGTTGGCCTTGCCCTGCACGGTCCACTGCTTCATGTTCTCGGGTGCCATGATTATTTACAGGTGTCAATGGTGAATAAAACAATTGTGAGTTGGTATGTGGAAAATTCGACGCTCAGCTCCTTGGTGGAGGGGTTTTTATGTAGTTATAAAGCTTCTGGAAGCCTGTATTATTGACGTAAGTGGGCAGATCCCCACATCTGTGACGATCCTCGAATGAGGATTCGGTAGATGGAGTAACTGGGAGCCATTCTCCCTCCAAAATGGCCCAACGTCCAAAGTTCGAGTGTGTTCCTCGCCAAATCACAGCTCATGGGGCAGTGTGTGGCCCGCCTTTGCTGATAAATCCGACTTAGGCTGATTCCCTTTTTCGGGTACAAGATGAAAAAACACGGCGTCAATGTGTGGATCTTTCTCATCCGGTTTTCCACAGATAAAAGTGCCCGACGGGTCTTTTCATAATCATGTGATTAAATGTTTATTGCCCCTTCTCTCCTACTGCCTTTTAGCTCTAGCATCATCTATTTACTGTGTACACACCCTCTGCACTCAACTGCTATGATCCTATCCTTCCCGAGCTCAAATCAAAGATCCAATGCTTTAGTATAAAGTAATCTTGTCGCTAGAAATATTACATTAAATATTCACATCCACCTCGTATACTTGTTAGTGTCTAGCGTCCATCATTGCTTGAATCTTCATTCAGTGCACAAACAGGACCTCTATGTTACTTTCAGTTAACAGATAGGCTCCCAGACTCGATTATAGAATCCAAATTAAAAACCACTTTCAGAGACAACATTCGAAGTTATGAAACAAAACCCGAAATATCTCGGACGTTTCTATAGAGTGTAGTTTCTCGAGAGCCTGAATCTCTCGAAGCTGGGAATGTGGCAGACAAGGAGAGCTCGCCCTTTGAGACCATTTTAAAAGATTTTGATACCATGATAGCTTCCCTTCCACAGAAACAAATATAGCTACAAATCTTCTTCTAAAGAATTGACAGATCGGTGGTAGCTTATATAGTTCAAGGGATAGAAGAGTTCACTTGAACTAACTAGACAAATGATATCTCGGTATCCTCTTTGTTTGGATATCGACTGAGTAGTATATCTTGTCTCTGTCAGATAGCCACGGCCTGGCAGAACATTTGATTATACTTTCTAAATTCCTTAGATTATCTAAATTAATTATACTAACTACCTAGATTCCTTATACTATTTAGATTGCGTAGATCATCTGAATAGATTGCACTGCATTATGCATAGATTGCCTACTACCTAAATCACCTACCTTACCTAAGTAGGCAGAGGCCGCAGAGCGGCAGAGGAGCAAATTCACATAATCTAGAAATATAGGCAGTGCAGCCGCCAGCGTATTCGAATAAATCATGATCTAGAAGTCTAGGCAGTATAGCCGATTGCCTATTTTATTAAATCTAGATAAAGCGGTAAGTAAAAATACCACATGACGAGTCGATTCTCGCCCGAATTCAATCAAAACCCAGAAGCGTGTACCAATCAGAACGCAGATCCTTTCGCGCAGCCTCACTACTATACATACTAGTTATTTATTACGCCCAATATCTGAGTTAGTGCTCCATTACAATGGGGATTTTTAGATCAGGTGGAGGATAGACTTTTACGGAGTACTTTGGAAAACTGTCGAAGCCGCGAAGACCGCAGGGCGATGTCAGAGAGTCAGAGGGCCAGCGCAGGATTTGCTATCAATGGACTCAATGAATGGTTGGGGGAAACAAGGATCCGCTTTAGACTTCCAGGACCAAGTGGCACGGTTCAATCAAGGGAAAGGTAGTAGTAATGCTAGCTGAGCTGAGCTCAGCTGCGCAATCAAGGGCCCGTGCGAGGGCTCATGCAACAATGAGTGTGTGACGCTCTCGTGAACACTACTAGAATCTTTGTTTCAACCTCGTCGAGTATAGCATCTCGATCTATTCTTTCAACTTGAGATCCTGAGAAATCCCTGAGCTCTCTTTGCCTACTTCCTACAACCACCATGGAACGCCTGAAAAATGCTACAACCTCAATTATCTCTTTTGGACAGACGGTTGGTCGAGAACATTCAACCGCCCTAGCCGTTGGTGGCGCGGGACTGGCACTCGCTACAGCTCCCGTCACCGGCCCTGCAGTGTTAGGTGCTGTGGGTTTCAGCTCTACAGGGCCTGTTGCGGCGTCTCTTGCTGCAGCATGGCAGTCTTCAATTGGAATAGTCCAAGCGGGAACCTGGTTTGCCACCTTACAGAGTGCTGCAATGGGAGGTGCTACTGCGGGAACTTTTACGACAGCATCGAATATTGGAATCGGAATAATGGGATCTGCGGCAGTTGGAACACAATTGAATGATAAGAAAAGAAGATTATCAGTAGGAAATGATCATGGTATTTTATCAATGCCTGCCTACACATTGCTCAAGGCTGACATGTATGAAGACGAAAGCCAGCCAGCTGATGATTATGAATACACAGCAAGCAACCCGCAAACCTCTGATCCCGACGATTCTTTAGACACGGAATTTATGAAATTGCTCAAGATCGACATATCTTAAGTACTACAGCAGTGTTCTATCGGTTATTTACTCTCCCTAAATAAGATTGGCAAGAATAGGAGACTATCCTATACTATGTCACTCTTATATATGCTCTATGGTAACTCCATTAGTCTAGTATTGTGTACTAGACTTCAGAAGATGGTCACACACGGTTGTGTTATAAGTAATGGGAGACTTATTGAACGTTCCTCCCTTGACTGGGAATGCTTTTTGTGCGAAAGTACCTCCTAGTGGGATATCATAATCTGAAGAAATTCCGAGTTTGCTTGGGAAAGGTATTCATTAAGTAGAAGTACGTTAGACAAGAATCATAAAGTAGGTAGACCCATACTCATTATCATACAGCAGCTTTTGTATTTTAACTGTACAGGTAAAAGGGTATCATAGTAGAGTCCCTAGGATCATGTTCTTTATTCATTACACCGGTCTTCTTTCTCCCGGATCCTCAGATAGATCCTGTACATTGGTAGGTTACCCTATTCTCTTATTATTTATATATTAATAGAGCAAGAAGCTTAACTAAATAATGCCACCTGCAAATATGGCCCTTGACAATCTGTCCACTATCTCTTTCCATGAGACAGTTGGCTCGCTGTGTATCTCCAATTGTGAATCGAAATACACAAATCAAGCATGCTCACCACGTGTTCAGGTCGTTCGATGCCATGAAGATGGGACAGCAACCATTATGGCCATCAGGCCTACTTGGCGAAACAACCGTTCTTTTCAAACCATTAACACCGAAGCATAGGCGGGTATATCTCCAAAATTGGCTACCTCAAGGGCTAAGGCTTATTTAAGCATACCTCTCATCCACTTAAGTTCTGTGATTGCACATCACGCAGTCTTCTCAAGTAGGAGGAGGTACTGTCTCATCAGGTGGGAGATAGTCTGTGAAGTTGAGGGCATATCCTTCCCAAAAGAGGCGTAGCATTAGGTCGTCATTCCCCAGCGGTGGCGGCCAGTCAGATGTTTCTCGTAGACTCAGGAAGCCGGAGAGTGAGTCCATGAAGGACTCATCTTCGTTCTCTCCCACTCTTGGTTCACCATTCACTGTGTCGATAGGTGCTAGTTCTTGATTGTTTTGCTGATCACCATTGGTGTCACTGCTCGGATCCAGAGTCAATATCCGTTCAACAAATGGCGTTCTGGACTCGTGCCGCTCACGCCGTAGCCGCTCGCGGTAGACATCGATGGCCTCAGAAAAGCTCGTGAGAATACGATGGTACTGTGCCGCCTGAGGGCTCAAGTGCCCTAGTGACCCGAGCAGACGGCGTGCGCCGTGAAAGGCATCGCAAATTTCCGAAGTCGTCTGCCCTTCTGCGAGAAGAGAAAATCCCAAGACCAGGCCGGCTGCAAAAAGCCATGCTCTATAAGTCTTCGTCAGCTTATTATAGACTTGATGTCTCCCAATAAAGGCAGTGTCTTCTTACTTCAAGATACACATGTTCCCCCATAGTATTCCAGCCTCGGCCGCATCACAGCACATTTGTGCCATGTAGGTCGCAGCATCAGTACACACGCTTGACAATTCAGCAACTTTCTCATTTCCTTCGCTGGAATCTTGACGGAGGCTCATCTTCCTTGGTCGCTTGCTGCGAATTTGCGGCATAATGTGCTGGATCAAGGATTGACGAGTCACAAGGATAACGCCGAAATAGTAAGTGCAGGCGACATGGATGTTCCCAATCATATTTTCTCGATAGTCTGGATTTGAGCCCAGATCGGGTTCTTTCCGCGGTCGTAGGCGCAGTCTGTCGGGCAGTGCTTGACTCCATTCACGCCAGATTTGCAGGAAGTGGTCGGCAGAATTCGCGTCCAACTTCTCTCCGTCAGTCAGCCTCTGGACAATGGCCTCCAGCACCGAGGAGGCCTCGTACGCAGCATTGAGGGCTGAAGTGCGATGACTAGCTTCATGGTCGCAATCATCTACATGGACATCATCGGTGCGGAGTGACGATGTGCTTCCAGGTCTGCCTAAGATAGAGCTGGAGACGAGATCGAGAACTCGAATGCTTTTACCGATCCGTAGCCTTACGATTCGATTAGCTTTCCCCAACAACCAGCAGCTAAGAACATACCTTCTAGCCCTGTCCTCTGAAGGCATCTGTCTGTACTGTCCAGAAATGTGTAGCCCAAGAACTATAGAAGCTCTTGCTGCTACTCCGATATACATAAAGGCTGCATTTCGACGGCAGGCTCCGAACATATAGAAGGCCATCAGCAAAAAGTCACGGGCCATATAGACCGTTGGATCCTCTAGAAAACCACCAAACGCCATTTTCCTGGCTTGACAGAAGTATCTTGCTGCACATAAGAGGTCTTCCTGAGTTCTGCCTTTGCATTGGGCTCCTATTGCAATCATCATGTATACAGCAGTGAGGTCCTCCTTTACGTGGCTATCCAATCGACCGGCGTTGGGCATACGAATGCTATTGGACACCTTTACCATCCGATTGATCTCCTCCCAGCTAAAGAGGTCTAAAAGACCACTAGACTTTCCATCGCGTAAGCTACGAGTTCAGATTGCGTTTGGCGTAAGAGGCTGATGATAGAGACTCACAACATCTAAGAAGCACTGGATAAGTGCCCATTTCTCTGTCTCCATCAACTCGTCTGCAAAGAAGTCCGTTCCCGTGTCAGGGACGTCCACTTCAAACATCTTGCGGCTATTCTGGCTTTCAGTAAAGCCCACGGGGCCGACATAGCGTTTTACTATCGCTTGTAGAAATTGAAGAAAAGATACGGCAGCAGCACCGCCCATAAAAACTGACACGTCCTCTAGATTAACATCTGGTTCTTACAAGGGCAAGGTCTTTCATTTGGACGCAACACACCTCTCTCACCGCTAGAGCTATACAGCATAGTAGGCCGTTGCCCCGCGGACGGCGTTGTATCTCGCGTACTACGGACATCATCGCTTTCTCGCGGTCGCGGTTTCTCGATGGGAGTTACAGTGTTATATGTGATTGCATGGTGGTCAGCTTCCGACGGCGTTAATTGTTGTAGTTGAATAGGAGCGCGAGTTTGGGTGGGGTGTGTTCCTCGCTGCTGGGATGTGAATGCACAGGACTCAGCGGTGCCCTTCATCTGACACGTTCGACAAGGCCGGGCGCCATCGCAACGTTTCTTCGACGCTTTGCAAGCAAGACATGCCCTGACTGAACGCTTCCGGTCTTGTGGTTTTACTCGCGGCCGCGGCATCGGATAGAGGATCGGGGACGGTGGAGAACGACTGGCTTGTTGTCACAACAAAAGTTCCCACACTTGCTGGGCGGAAAGTACCCCGTAAATACACCAGAGATTATTAGCCGCGAGTAAAGATGCGAATAGTAGCACGTAGCATATCAAAAGTGGGGCAGTGATAAATGGAGTTGGAGGAATGGAGTTCATGTTTCTTATCTGGACAGCAAGGAGGTAAAGAAGTTCGTCCCGGCTTTTGTCAAGATGGGGCGCGGCCCGTACCCCCCACCGGTTCTCGGGTAATGCACTTGGTCGGGTGTGCATGTTCCGCCAACAAGCGTCATGTTACAATGTTATTCGCCTCACACCAACAGTCCTCATAGGCAAATGAAAGAAGAAGTCAATTAGTGATAAGCTGCGCCATTATGCGCGTGACTTATCATGCCTTCATTCGTTTCAAGAGTTAAAAGGCCACCATACCTACACCCTCAGAGTTAGAAATCATTCCCACTGTCACAAACACCCTACAATACCTACTTCATTCAACTGCAACTATGGGCTCTCATCAAGAATCTTGGAGGCGACTGAATGTAGGTGTGGTCGGTGGTGGTATTGGCGGCATGTCCGTCGCCATCGCCCTCCGCCGCGCCGGTCATGAGGTAACCATCTACGAACGCAACGACTTTGCTGGCGAGGTCGGCGCCTCAGTTTCATGTGCTGCCAATGGTACAAGATGGCTTCATGAGTGGGGCGTGGATATCGAAAAGGGTGACCCAGTCGTGCTGCGCAAGCTCATCAACCATGACTGGAAGACTGGTGAGCCGGTCAGTGTCTACGACCTCGCGGATTACGAGGAGAGATGGGGTTACGTCTACAACATGTTCCATCGTCAGTACATGCATGCGATGTTGAAGGACTGTGCGTTACAAGAAGAGGGAGAAGGCACTCCAGCTAAGCTCCAGGTTAACCATGCGGTATACCACTCCATCTCTACTACGGTGCTACTAGACAAACAGGTCCATGCTAACATCACCTTCAGTGCAAAGATATCGACCTAGCCACGGGTGTCATCACGTTTACAAATGGAGTCCAAGCTCAGCATGACTTGATAATTGGCGCTGACGGTATTGGTTCGGTCGTTCGTGGTATCATAGGACTTCGTCCAGAGAAGAAGCCTTCGGACCAGAGTTGCCTACATGCCAATGTCCGTACAGAAGATGCCGTCCGACTTGGCCTGGTTGACTACTCCCAAAACAGTGCGCTGGAGTACTGGGGCGGCCAAGAAGGCAAGTGGGACAAGATTGTACTCTCGCCATGCAATGGTGGCCGTTTGCTATCGTACTACTGCTTTTTCTCTCGAGAAAAGGGAGATTTTAGCAATCACACCTGGGGCAGTGCAGACCGGCCGGTGGAGGAGCTACTGGAGCCGTACCCGGAGCTCGATCGTCAAGTGTTTTCTCACCTATCTATTGGCACAGAGATCCGGCCGTGGCGCTTGTGGGTTCAGTAAGTCGACATCCTTCTCCTCTATTATAGTCGTTGTACTAACGCACATTCGATAGCCAACCATATCCATACATTGCCCGTGATATGGTGTGTTTGCTCGGTGATGCAGGTCATCCGGTACAGAATTATCTCTTGTCATGTTGGTTATACGATCAACAAGGCTAATATAATAATACAGATGATGCCTCACCAAAGCCAGGGTGCCTGTATGGCAATTGAAGATGCCGCAGCGCTTGGTATCCTTTTCAACAAGACCAACTTCACTGGAGATATTGCTGAAACCCTCGCCATCTATAACGAAATCCGACTGCCCCGAGCTACGAAGGTTCAATCTGCTGCGGCAAAGGCCGCTTATAATATTAATGAACGGATAGGTCAGTAAAGCAGTTGCCCATTAGAAAAGAAATTACTGACAGGTTTCCAAGGGTTCTCGAGCAATACTACAAACTCCGTATACAAAGTTGAAGATGAGAAGAAGAAGCTGACTATTGAAGAGATGAATGCGTAAGTTGATGACTCTTTGGCCCAATCTTTCTGCAACAGGCTCTGACTATGTGGTCAAGGTACGATATGTACAAAGATATCGAAGAGGCGATCGCAAGGCGCAAAGGGTTACCTTTCACTGCACCATACACGAAAGGGCTCCCATTCGGCTTAAAGCTGTCGAATGGAGTGACAATTGGAGAATAATTTGTGATACCATCATGCAGAATGCCCCTTTCATACTGCTTTCATGACTTTAGCCTGGTTCATGCTGCATCTTACTAAAGTGATCCTCATGATCCATTTTTTTCATATGTATATTCCAGTTTTAGCATGATTATGATTTGTCAAATTTCTCTGACATGAAAAATCGAAATGGCTTATGCTGCAAAAATACTGATAATATATCATTTCCAACTTATTGCTTACAGAGTAATGATATACTACTAAGTTAACAAGTGAATATCCTTCACCATAGGAAACAGGGTGATCTGAGAAGTGAAAGTAGTTGTATCCTCGCTCTTCAATATTACACACCCATCTTCACTCCATCAAATCACGACAGCTAGTTCCTACTTCTCTTGAAGATCAGTTCTTGCAATTTTCCTACGGCTTATCGTACTTAGGATCAGAACTGCCCTTCGACTTGCTAAAGTGTGTCTTGAGACGAACCCTCAATGACGATGGAAAATGGCGTCACATTTCTCGAGTAAGTTTATGCTCAAATAAAAAGAATGTCAAGAACAGTGGATATTCAAAAGTATATTAATAGTCTCATCAGGTTCCTCACGTCGGACTTCGTCTCCCTTCAAGCTCTCAACTCCACGCGTGTGTTCAAGGTCCACAGAGCACTTCTTGACGCCAAATGCAAAGCTGTTGCTTCGGCATTCAATGGTAATTTTACTGAGAGGCAAAATGGGGTGTATACTTTTTCTGATACCTCCGAGGGGACTCTGTCGCGATTCCTCGAATGGGCCTATCGAGGGGACTATACCGAGCCCGTGGTAAAGCGTAAAGACACGGCATCTGACAAAACCAAGAAAGACCCTGCTAGCAATCAGCTGGAGAGCCTGGACTATCCACTAATGGCTCATATGGCACTGTATATCTTCAGTGAGGTTTATATTGTTCCAAACCTGAAGGACCTTGTCTTTGCCAAGATCAAAGCAGCCATCGAAGTCATAAACAAACCACGTACGGAGGATGATCAGCGTGGTGTTATCTCTCTCTTGAAGCTTGCATATACGATGATTCCTGCAAATAAGTCCTCGGCAGATCTACAAGAGTGGTTGGCGCATTATGCCGCATTCAGTTTGGAGGAGCTCCGCGGTCAGCCTTCATTCAATGACGTCCTCAAGCTCAGTCCAGATTTGGCTTCCAAAATCCTAAGTAGATCAAACCCAGCTGATTCTCCTCCTTGGCCTAGAGGGTGGGGTGAACATAAACGATTGAATGGAGGTTGGCTTTGATTTTGGTATACCATGTATTCAAGCTTATCGTTTCTACACCCCATAGAGGGATGCCAGGTACCTATGGTGGTGGCATGGGAAGGGGGGACACTAAGGGCTACGTTGCAGAGTGATCGCGCAATACACTAATTAACTGAGCTCAATTGCCGATCATTGTAGAATCAATGGATAATTATCCGTCATGGTATGGGAAGAGAGATGAGGGGTAAATTATCACCTCATTTTTCCGAGTCGGTGCAATTCCGACCTCTCTTTTCTACTTATTACTTCGACAACCTCCCCTCCTACATAATCCTCTATATTTAATCGCTGTGCAGAAAGATTATAGACGTTGTTATAGCTCGTAATACAACACAGGAACCTCATCCAACCAAGACCATGTCTCTAGGAAGGACTTTCAAACTCAACTCGGGATACAATATCCCCGCCATTGGACTGGGAACCTGGGTATGTGTATCAAAAAAGAACACGCCAGGGGAATAATACCGATCGCATTTGACATTTACTAACAACCCTAGCTCTCAAAACCACACGAGGTTGAGAATGCCGTCGAGGCAGCTTTGCGCGCAGGATATCGCCATATCGATGCTGCAGCATGCTACCTGAACGAGAATGAAGTAGGGAACGGCTGGAAGAAGTCGGGTGTCCCTCGAGACCAGATCTTTGTCAGTAACACCTTTGCCAGGCAATCGCTTTTTGTCAATATGAATATTGCGTCATGAGCTGACTACAAGACAGATCACTAGCAAGCTATGGAACACACATCACCATCCCGAACATGTCGAGGAGGCAGTCAACAAGACCCTTAAGGACCTCCAGACAGACTACCTGGATCTATACTTGGTTTGTTCGCTCCATACGTCATTCAACCACAGAAACCCACCCTAACCGTGCCAGATCCATTGGCCCGTCGCATTCGAACATACAAACGAAACTCTCACGCCTATCGATCCGGTCACGAAGCGATTCCGTTTGGCGAACGTACCTATCGCTGGTACGTGGGCTGCTCTGGAGAAGCTCGTGGATGCGGGCAAGCTCCGAAGCATTGGTATCAGCAATTTCACGCAGGACAAGATTGATGACCTTCTTAAGACGGCGAAGATTCCCCCGGCTGTCAACCAAA